CAAAACGAAGGAAAACGGAGAAAAATCCAAAATAAAGATTTTCAGCGATGACGTCATCAATCCATGGCCGTGGCCGAGGTGGGGAGTTTTCTCTTCCATGGGAAAATTTCGAAAAATTCACAGCTTTTCGCAAATCCCATTTTTCTCCGTTTTCCTTCGTTTTCCGTAGTTTTTATTCAAATTGTCGTAGTAATTAATCGATGTTTCATTGCTTGTGCGAACAATTTTCGATAAAAAATGGCTCATTTTGGGCCAATTTTTGGGATTTTTGAATGTTTGTGTGTAAATCACTAAATTGTGATTGTTTCCTTCATTCAATGATCTATAAAATTATGAAAAAAATAAGAAAAAATTCAATTACCACGAAAATTGAGAAAAATTGAGGAAAATTGGGAAAAAACGAAAAATTGAGAAAAAAAGGGAAACTTGGGAAAAACCGAAGGAATATTGAGAAACAGAAGAAAATGAAATAGAATTGAGAAGAAAAGCAATTGAGAAAAATTGGTAGAGGAAAGTATCGACTGAGCTTTAAAACGTAAATTAAGCATTAAAATCCTGAGTTTGTAAAACTTGTCAAGATTGTTTTACAGTTCTCCGTTGTATGCTTTCCTGAATTTTCGGGACTCAAAAATTCAAAAAAAAAACTAATGCCTTTCAGCACAGAACAATTTCCACAATTTTTTCATGATGAGTGAAAAATATACACAAAATCAAATAGAACAATGTGACAATGAGAAGTGAAAACTTTCTGTCGTAATTTTTAAAAATTCAAAAATATTGAGATTCTGAAGTTCTGCGATTTCGAAGTTCTGAAATTCTAACATTCTGAAATTCTCAGACTTTGAAGTTCCGAAATTCTCAGATTCCGAAATACTGAAATTTCAAAGTTCTGAAATTCTAAGAATTCTGAGATTTTCAAGCTCTGAAATTCAGGAAGAAACTCCCTCAAAAAAAAACTGCACCCCCGAATCACAAGCGTTGTACCCCTAAATGAAATGAGTCGTACCCCGAATTTTTGGCAGAAATTCTACCCAGTTGACCCTCCGAAATAACACCTTCGATAGTCTGCAATTGTGTTTGTTTTCCTCAAAAAACTACGAAAAAGATGTAAAAACAAAAATTCATCATGTTCAGAATCATATACTCAAATTGATCTCAATGACCCCTATGAGACTATCAATGCCCACTACTGAACTCTATCAATGATAATTGGGCCAAATGCAGCAAGCGTTGAGACGTCAAGGTGTGAATACACCAACGACAAAATTCCTAATAATGCTCGGCCGCATGTGTCAAAAGTCACTCAGCAGAAAATCGAGAAAATGGGCTGCGAAGTTATCCCTTATCCGCCAAGTAGCCCTGATTTGGCACTTTCAGATTTCCAGTAATTCATATCAATGCGACCCTCATTAGCCGAGAAACACTTCAAAAGCCGCGTTGAGACCGAAAAATGGGTGGTCGCCTACTTTGGGTCGCATTCAGTGGGGTTCTTTCACAGCGGACCCCATTCTTTGCGCGGATGTTGGCTACAAGTAGTTGATAATTATGGCGAATAGCTTTTGAGTTAATCTTGTCTACTTCCTTTTTTATGAAAAATTCAATTGATCATAAAAACAACCATTATTTTTTAGCCAACCTAATATATACTAAATTGTAATCCGTCTTATGAAATTCCCACTTTCACAGTCTTGCCAATTTTTGATTTTAATTTTCTATATACTTTCCGTTCGGATTCGCGAACTGCTGCCAATTTTGACATGACTATTCTCAGCATTCACTCAGAAGAAATGACCTGGCAGCCGTGTAACTCCTCTGGTAGCATCATGAGACCCGTAATTTTTCAAACAAAGCGATCAAAAAGCTTCAATCAGCAAAAGCTACAGAGTAAAGTTTTTCAATATCCCACTTAATCTTATGTTGAATGAGATTTTTAAGAGTTCTTCAACATCGAGACGTTTGTTGACGATTTTCAGTTTTTTTTCAAATGAATAAAGTATGAATAATATTTAAACGCCAAGCCTGACACACTTTTTCATACGTATCTGTTTCAGACTATCTATCTTATTTTTCCATAACTTTTTAATAATTCAAGGCAAATTTTCATTGTACATAAGTGACAAAAAACCATTGATAGAAAAATGGAATAAAGAAGCAATTTCAATTGAATCATACAAACATTTACTGAATGGTGACTTTCTGAATTCCCTTCGAGATTCCAGAAGCGCCGTTGTCCCCGTCTTGTCCACAAGCACACTTTTTCTCGTTCTCCTGTTTGTGGACAGGTGCCATATAAAGAACAACCGGACGATCTTGGGTTCGGATCTGGAATTGAAAAGTTTCAAACCGGTTTGAACCGTTAATTTGAATTTTCAAAAAAAAAACATCGGAGAGAAAACTCACAGTTGCTGGCATATCCGGAGTTGTAGTGATAAGTGGTAGCGAATTGTCATTATGAGACTCGTGAAGCATATCCATACAGAATTCGTGATGATCCTCTTCGTCAATGGGCATGTTGGAAACCATTGCGTTAGTCATGGTAGAAGCCTGGAAATTTGAAATGGAAAGAAGAAAAAGAAGAAGAGTGAAGAGTAAAACGAATTAATCGTGTGGCGGCATTGAAATTTTTGGGGAATAAAAAAAAGGGAGGAAGGGGGCTGATGGGCGGAACCTATTCAATTAGAATGGGCAGGAGGGGCTCGCCCAAACTTTGTTTTTAGTCTTTCTTTACTTTTGGGAGAGTTGCTAATCGAAGAAAATGTCAAAGGGCATAGAAGGTGCCCACTGATTCACTAAACATGGAGTGTGAAAAGGGAAGTGCAACGGTTGCACATAAAAAAGCGAAAAAAAAGAAGAAGAATCGAGTAATACTTTCAGTTGGTCGCCACAAATCTTCTTCTGCCTATCTTACTGCATTGTGCGCAATTTTCCGCTCAATTCACCAGGGAAACTCTCTCTCTCTCTCTCATTCTCTCTCTCTCTGCCGGGGTGAGAAAGAGGTTTTGAAGAAAGAAGATCTTTTTGACCTCATACTTCATATACGTCTGGGGAGTGTTCCATAACTCTTCCATTCTGGCTTTTGTCTTGTCTTTCTTGGAATATAGACGTGTTGGAGGAAATTGGTGTGGAGGACTAAATGGATGTTGTTTCGGTTTTGTGTCAGCGTTCTACAGAAAAGCCATTCTAGACGCCAGGAGAGGAAACGTAAATTATTCTAGGCGGCAATTCGGAAAAGGAAAAAAAACGAAAAATTTTGGAATAGGAAAAGAAATTATGGAGAAAAAAACAAGGAACGAAAAAATGGGATTCAATTTCCAGGAAGAGACAGAGAACAATTGCGGGGTCGCGGAGTCTAAACTGGTTAGGATGAAAAATGCTGGACTGTTGGAATTCATAAATTTGAAAAAATTTGAAAAAGTATTTGAACGCAATTTAAAAATTTGATTCAATTCTCAATTTTGATTTGAAACCAAAAATAATGCGAATGCTACAAAAATGAGTTGGTGTTTTAGAATCCAATGAATTATATGCAACCTAAAATTTTTCAAATGAGAATCAAAAAAACTGTGTACTAAATGTAAAATCTATGAATAAAAGTACCCCTACTTCAACCTAATTAACCTTAAAACCTGGGAAAGAATGGTCATCACGCTGTCCACTTTGAGCTAATTTATCTCGATTTCTGCAAAAGATAGGGAAAAGTTATCAACTGATAAATTGTTTATCATAATAACAGAAAAATTTTATCAGTTGACAATTTTTTGATATCGTGCATAGGGATTGAGATAATTGAGCTCAAACTTGACAGCGTGAGGGCCCTTCTATTACAGGTTTTACGCTTTCTTTATTTTTGATAAGGGTATATCAAAAAATAGTGAAATGAGCATATATTTTTGATAATATGATAACAATTTTCTAGATTAGTTGAAAATTTCGACAAAAATGTCTAGTTAAAAATCTCTAAAAACCATATTTACTACAGGTTATACGGTGATTTTGAAAATTTTCAATCTTCTAAAACTAGATCTCAGACTCCTAAAGGAAGCTCTCCCAAAACTAGTTTTTAGCCTTCTGGGTTTCTCCAAATTTCAAGACACTAAAACTTTGCGTCCACCAGGAAAGGAAATATGCAAGTGACAGATTTTCACGTCATTTTTAAATATACGTACAATACTCGGTTCTGATGAAAACTGAACTGGACACATCAGTCAGTCACTGAACAGTGGGCGGGGAAAAATAAGTGAGAAGAAGAAATAAGAAGCTGAAGTCGACCAACGAGGTTGATATATATGCGCCAAATCGCGGGCACAAAACAAAATGGTAGTCGTCGTCCACCACTGATTCCCAATGGAATTATGGTGGCGGTCCAAAAGCTGATCAGTTTGCACACACACATGACAAGTTTTTTGGGGCCTCAGCTTTGGCGAGGCAATGAAAAAAAGACGTTTCATCCACAGATGGAACAACTAACAAAGTTACACTTTTATGGGACAAATCGGATGGGAATGGCTCGAAAAAAAAGAAATGATGTGATCAGTTTAAAATGAACAAATGTGTAGGCTTTATACTATCTTTTGACACAGAAAAAGGAGGACAAATGACGTTAGGGACAAAGTCGTTGGCGTGAAAGAAAAAGAGTTTTGTTTTGTTTTGTTTCGGTGCCCAAGAAGTGTATGTGTCAAATTTGTGTTTTTGGTTCTTCTTTCTTGGGAGGGCTATTTCTATATTCCAGGCTATTTTTGGCACGAATTTCAGAACTAAATATAGAACTGAAAGAAAAGGAGCAATGAGAAGATTTTTGAAAGTTGGAAAATTCGAAAAAGCAGGCGACGCAAAAACGGCTGACCGGATGTCGCAACCCTTTTTTCTTCTGTCGAAGACGGAAAAGTTGAAAAAATTCATTCTGTGGGAGTAGAAACATCATCAGAGTAGCAAAAAAGTTTACATTTCGAGAAGAGAGGGGAAGTGTGTGAAAACAAAAAGAAAAAAGGAAATAAATACTTTGAGAAATGGGCTAAAGTATATGGTCTTATTTAGAGAATGGGAAAAAGTGAGAATCAAAAATTGTTGGCTTATAAACCAGTTTTTGACTAACTTGACTTTCCAAAAACGTTTAAATGTATAATTCTTCCAACGCTTACAAGGGAAGCTCTCCATATGTTACAAAGGGATCCTGATGAAACCTATGCCAAATAATAGTACGCAGGCTATCTAGATCAACCACGAAATTTTAGCAGCCCTTTTGGAGGTCTGTTGAAATGAATATTTTTAATACTTTCCTTTTTAGTTTATAGACTTTATTTTGCTGTTTTCTTCTTATTTTCATTTGTTAAAGGAGGGCAGACAGCAAAAATTTCGGGGAAAATTTCAGGGAATGTGTATTTTGCCGTCGCGGTGTTCGCACCTAAAGCACGCAATCCCACGCGCAAACATTTTTATTTTTTTATTTCCCGACTTTATTTTTTTCAATTTTTAACGACTTCAAACATTAAAAAAGCTCTTTTTTCTTATTTATTATAAAACCCATATAAAAGTGAATTTTTCATGTAAATTTAAAGTTCTATCGACCGATTATTTTTCCAGTCGCCGGTGTTTTTTATAGGCATGCGAAAAAAAACTATTTTCTCTTCGATAACCGTTTCTTCACTGTTCCTATTTATCTCATTACTTCTCGTTATTACTCTAGGAATAAAAACTGTTTTATGACTAGGGTTTTCAGAGACGTCTTCATTTTTACTGCTTCCTTCACCTTCCGACGACCAGCCCTGCACGAGGATTGTTTTAATTATGTGGTTTTTTTTTCAATTGTTATGTCTCTTTCTAAAAATTAATTGTAGTTTTTTTCATAATTTATTTGTTAACATAATAAAACAAGTTTCTTCATTTTCAACTGATTTTGGTACCTCGGAGCGAGGCCTCGGCGGCACGCTGGTAGCCCTTCAGAAATTCCGAGTTCAAAAAGTTCAATCCGAAGGAAACAAGGGAAGAAAAAAGTAAAAACACCAGCAGGGATTGAACCTCTGACCTCCTGAATACTAGCCTAGAGCGTACCCACTACACTACGCGTGTAAGAGGCGACCATCGCGTTTTTCCATTATGAAGCGACGCCGCAGCAGCAAGCTAGTGAAGAAATTAGGGTGACAAAAAAGAGCATTTTTTCGTCCTTGAAGTGTTTTTTTCAGGTTTTTAAGTACATAGCTATATTTATACTTCAGAGTTATATCTTTTCAGTAAAAATGAAATTTTTGAAATTTTTGATGTCTACCCTCCTTTAACTTTCAATTTTTCTAACAAATATTTTCTCAAAAATTGGCATTTTTTGAATATGGTAGAACTCGAAATTTTCATATTTTCTGTTTTCCTGAGATTCCTTTTGAAGATGGAACATGGGTGCAATTGACATTAATGCTTACCAGTTCATCACCTGTTGAATAAAAAACGTTTGAATGATTACCATAAAAATGAACAAAGTTATAGTCATTCGAAGGGTGCCGATAGATCTTCTCAACAGATCTTTAAACGGGCCGCTACAATTTCGTGGTTGATCTAAATAGCCTGCGAACTATTATTTGGCATAGGTTTCATCAGAATCCCCTTGTAACATATGAAGAGCTTTCCTTGGTAGCCTAAATAAATGCCCATAATCTCCAAAAGAAGTTTTAAACGAATTTGCTGAAATAGTTTTTTTGACGACTTAGGAAACTGTAGACTCCAAAACAAATTTGAGTCGAAAACTAACCACTGAATTTCAAACAAAGTTTCAAAGTTGGACAAAAACTACAGTAATCTTGAATACTTAGTCATGGTTTCAAAAGTGAACAGTTTTTGAAAAAAAGGTAGGCAGACTTTTCAAAACTCCAAAAAATGGAGAGTCACGGAATTTGGGAAGATTTAAAAAATCTGAAAATTCGAACTATTCCAATTTCAAATTATTCACAAGTTCTGAAATCACGAAATTTGAAAAATCGCAAATTTTGACGTTCCTAAAAATTTCTACCTGTTCTGAACTGAGTTCCAATATTTTCGGCTATAAGCGTTTCATGGTTTTTTTAAGTTTTATAAAACTTAAAAAATTGTTCTCGATTTTTGTAAAATTCTAATTCTTGATTTTCAATAAATTCTTGATTGTTTTGAAATCTAAAATTTGCAATGTTTCAAAATTTGCAATTTTTCAGTATTCTGAACTTCTAAATTTCTAAAACTGAAAACTGTGATTCTGACGTTCTTAAAAACTCTGTGACAGTAAAACAGTCAGAAAAGAAAACATTAAATTTATTTAATTTAGAAAAAGTACCGATTTAAACCCAATTTTTCAACCATTTTCTCGATTTTTTATACATTTCCGATTGGCTTGAAGACATCTTGCAAATCTTCCCCAACTTCGGTCCTCTTGAAAATCTTTCCATACCAAACAGCCTGCAAGTATCCACTATTTAATAATTTCCGAAATTTTTTAAACTCACGAAACAGTAAGCCAATGTCATCCCAACAACGGCTCCGACGATGACGTCACTCCAATAATGTTTGTTATCCGCAATGCTTGTTGTGCAAGTTACAAATCCATAAACCATCAGGAGTACTTGAATGATAGAAACCATTTTCGTTTTCCGGAAAACTGACTTCAGGCGGGCTTCCATGTACAGAACGATCCAAAAAGCACAATACATTGTAACTGCAGACTGTCCGCTGTAGAAACTTTTTCGAGCTTCCTCAACATATTTCGGGTCCCCCTGACATTGATAATCCATCACATAGACATCGACGTTGAAAATTTCGCACTCTACAATTGACAAAGGATTACAGGCCACGAGAAAATAAGGGCGAAGACGTCCAGTGGCTCCTTTAACAAATCTGACGAGAAGCTCATTGGCCACATATCCAATCTGACTGTATCCTATAATCGATAAAGATTTTGAGATCGGCACATGAAAAATCTTACCTATCAACGTGAAAACTGTAACCAAGAAACTGGAAACTGATCTCGAGCCAACCCGATAAACCAGATTTGTAAACTTCTTGGGACCCAGAATCCAGTGAAACGATTCGATCACAAAAAATGAAACATTCATGAATGTAATGCAAATCATCCGATACTGAACCCGAGTGAGGGTGTTTGGGTATGGACGAAATCTTATTGATTGGTCGTTACAGAAGAATCCTCGTTTGAAAGTTCCCATACTTTTAATGGAGTGCCAACCAAGGAAAACTGAAAATACATTGATCAATTTTTGACATTACAATGATAAACTTACAGATCCCGTAGAGCAGAATAGTATTAATGATTGTTCTCCACAAGTTGATATGGACCACTTGGTTATTACGACTGAATACGTTCATGTTTCTTTTCTGATTAGAGTAAAAACCTGGAATTTCGGAAATTTTTTTCAAAATAACGAAAATGCTGAAATGCGAAAGAAGTTGCAGAAAATTTTAAGTCTTTTTTTTCAAAATTACCGTACTTTCTCTAACAGAAACTCGCCCAAACAGTCAACTTCGTGCTCATATGTCTCATTCCCTGTGCAAGGAATATAATACTAGTCAACTGATTAAATGTTTTCCTTGATATCAAGAATAATGTGACAGTTGCTCACTTTTCGGTATCTTTTCCAGGGGATGAGATATATAAGCTCAAAGTAGAAAGTTTAAACTCTATTACAGTGGATACGGTACAACTTGTGTTACGAACAAAATATGCAAAAAAACGTCAGTTCAAAAAAATTTTCGTCAATTCACTATGATGACTAATACGTGTCCGATCACTGGATGACCTTAGGCCTTGGTCTTTGATATTGCCACGTGGCTTTGGATATCTACAAAAAATCAATTTTGACCGAAAAAACGTTCAAAAGTGATAAACAAACAATAGAGTGACCGAGGCACGGCGCCATAAAAACTGCGTTTTTGAATAATAATACAAACTGTTTTTTTTTTAGATGCAGATGGTTTGCCGGTGTCTTCCGGTACCCAAAGATACAGATTATTTCCCACGGCATATTGAATGGCAAATAGAAAAAGGTACAATAGGAGGAGCCGAGGTTGGAAAGAAAACTGATCATAAAATTGGAATCCATAGGATTTTTATTGCCTTTACATCGAGCAGTTCTCATAATTTAAATCCAATTCATTTGGTTTTCCAATTATGTGTAAGTTGAGTCCAAGTTTATGCGTTCCACTATATAATATATATAAAACCATTAAAACCTTTATTAAGAAAAAAAAATATGGACCGAGTACATTTTATGTAATTTGTAAAGTTAATTTTACAAATTTAGAATTAATGAGAAAATGAAATGCAAGTGTGGTGAACTTAAAGAACCAAAAAATGGAGAGGGGAAAGTGAGAATTAATTACAATTAATGTTTCAGAAACTAGCGTGTCAGAATCTAAACAAGAGATATCGGGAACTGAATGGGGGTGGAGGTATGAGAAGATGAGTTGGATTGTTGAGAAATCGCGGATAGAATAAAATTTGTTCCTTCTTCGCTGGTAGACGAGTCATTATTGAAGAGTAGAGAGTCCTTCTTTTTACGCATTAGATTTCTTTCTTTTACCTGCAAATCGTCGATTTGACTGAGATGGGCAGGTATTTGAATTTTTCTGCTTACTGTATCAATAGGAAAGATCCGAAACCTTGATTTTAATCTACCTATAAAACTCTGATAAACGCTAACTTTATATGTGCAGTTAGAGCTCAGTTTACTGGTTGCTTCGAAAGATATCGAAAAATTGACAACTGATAAAATACTTGTCAAAATTTCACCAACATTTTATCAGTTGTCACATTTCTGATGTCATTCACAAGAATCGAGATAATTAAGCTCGAAGTGAATAGATTGATGGAAATACCGTAATCCAATTTTTCTAGCTTTCTGAAAGTATTAAAACTGGTTTTCTCAGAAAATCTTTCTTTGAATATCAACAACGTTTTTTCTCTCAAACTTGGGTGAGCTTCTATTACAGGCTGTAGGGTATTTACTTCTCCATCCTCACCTTATACTCAAGCGTAGAGTGAGGGACTCCAAAAAAGCTTCCGGCACGATGCACGGTCATCTCCCCACGACGAACACTTCTGACGGCCTCATCCAACGCATTCTTGTCGTATTTTCTGAAAACCCTTCACTTTATTTTCAGTCCATCTAAGTTTAGGCTTCCAACCTATACTGTCCTCTTTTCGGCCGGCTTCTCTTCCATTCATCTGTTCCGTGAACTTTATGTGCTTTCTCTGGTGTTGGCGTGGTGGGTGTGTCAGTTTCAACTGTTGTGACGGTCATTCCGTTCTCCGCTGGGACCACGCCAGTTTGAGTTTTGAACAAGTTCTGCCAGATAGACTCAAGCCACTTGGGATCCAAAGGGGAACTTGACTTCTGGAAGAGGAAGAAGAATTCGTTTGCGTCATGGAATACATTTTTTTGTTGGAGGGTTAGCTGGGGAGCTAAGTGTTTGATTTTGGTTGAAAAAAAATGAAATTAACATTTTTGGAAATTTTTAGAAAGAAAAACCTGGAAGTTGTAACCAACTACCGTAACAGAAGAGATCATCCTTTGAACTCAATTATCTCAATTTTCATTAGAGATAACAAAAACATGTCAACTGATAAAATGATTGTCATAATATGATCCAAATTTTATCAGTTCACAAAATTTTGATATTCCTCACAGAAATATGGATAATTCAGCTCAAGGTGGGAGTGCATGATAACGTTCTATACGATCCTTTACAGTAATTGAATTTAGAGAAATTTATAAACTACAATAATAGAAGCCTACCATTCTTTTAGTTTTAGCTCAATTATTTTGCTTCCTGTGATAGACATCAATAATCTTCCAACTGATAAAATGTTTGTCATAATATCAGCCAAATTTATTAATTAAGGGATTTTCGATATCTCTTAAGAAACTATAGATAACTGAGCTTGAAGTAAAAGGCATTTACGATAATTTTATTTAAATAGACACCCATCGAAATACCTTTGACTCCGGTGTATCTTCTGTTCCCTCCACACTGCTGTTTGTGCTGTCAGGTGAGCTTGGACACATTGAAGCATGAGGTGACGATGAGGATGAGTCAGACTGATTGCCGAAAGAGTCCAACATAGCGGCGGCAGCAGAAGCCTCGTCACATCGTTTCTGCTCGGCCTCGGCTCGTCGGGCGGCAATCTTGCCCCGACGAATTTTTGATGGAATCGCTCCTTCTGCCTCGAGCTTATAGATTTTGTTTCGGAGAGTGGAGCGTGGGATACCGTATACCACAGAGGCTCTGGAAAGGTGTATTGATTGATTGCTTATGAAAATGTGTTTGATAGGAAAGAATACCTTCTGGTTCCAAGTTTGCCTTCTCTAATAGCATCAACAGCCTGCGTCAAGTCTTCAATAGTATAGTTCCTTCTCGAATTGTTCAATTTGTTATCATCTGGAGATCTAAAAATATGAAACAACGCTTATATCCAAGTTCAACTGGAGGTCACTCACTTTTCGGCTGTTGTCAATTCCTCATCTTCGGTTTTCATGTCACCATTGCTCAGTGCACCAAGCTTTTGAAGCGCATTCATTGTCTAAATTTTAATTGGTGTCGTGAAATTTCATGTCCAACAACTCACTTTATTACTCAAATCCAGCGGGTTTTCTGTTATGAAACTGCGAGCAATAGCGGCATATTGTAATTGCGGTTGTAGTTGAGAATTTTGGAATTGGAGCCAGAAATTAATGGCCCATGGATTTTGCAAGAGATGTGGAAGTAACGATTCGTTGAGTTCTGAAAATGATGGACATGAACATCAAGCAACCTAAGAACATTCGAAAATTAGGGTTTTATGAAAAATTGAATTCGGATATCTGAATTTTTAAAAGGTCTAAAAAAGATTAACTCACGTCGATCCAGAAAAATATTCTGCCAATTTTCACTTGCACCTTGCATCACTTGCGAGGGAGAGCTCAGAAGATTAGCGATACTTAACCGATTTGTGGCGTACACTGAAAACGCAAGATTCTCACATTTTTTGGAGTAATTTGGTTTGGGAGAAAAAAGTGCTCAACACTAATAATTTATGAAATCGGAAACCCATTTTGTAGATGAATTTGAAAGTTTTGGAAGAGTGCATGAAGAAATTAGATGAATTTTCAAGATATGATACCGGTCAATAAAATATACGAAAACGTATTGTTCAGTTGATTTCTGGTCATTTTGACCATTTTCGGGAGTCTGCTTGGCTGTTAATTTTTTGATCACTTGGAGTTTTGGGAAGAATCAAAGAGACCTAAATTGAAAATTTTGTATTGACAGAATTTTTGGAAAATTCCTAGTTTTTTAGCTATTTACCGATTTTCGAAACACATCTGTTATTTACGTTTTAAGTACAATAAAAGGCTAAAAAGAAGTATCTTTAAAAAATCGCTGTAAAACTATGATTTTCCAGGAATTCTGTTAATGCAAAGTTCTCAATCAGGGTCTGTTTTACAGCCTTCGAAACTTTCAAACTGTTCGAAAACGGGACAACCGAGCTTTAGACTCTGGAAAATTGTCAAAATGGTCGAAAATATAGCTCATTGACAAGTACTGTATGTTACAAAAACGGTAAGAATGTAACACTAAAAAGTTATTGATGTTCCAAAAAACTTTCAAAATTTTCAGAATTAAAACAAAAGAGAATTTTTTTGATCTTTCTATTAGAGTCTGTTTCCGAACAGCATTCCCCAATACTTATTCCTATTATAATCCCGACTGCACCTTAATTTCCGGAAGGTATAAAACGTTTTTTGGCTCTAACTACGTAAAACGACGCGTTCTGGTTAAACTTAACCGAAAAACTGACTCTTTGCCTCCTAGGTTGACTTTGGTCAAATAAAATCAGAAATATAATAGTACACGAATATTTATGTCAGTAAATAAAATGAGCGTTTGGGAGCACCTGCTCTTTTAAAGACTACAAATAGATAATCCCTAAATTTGAGTGACTTCTTCTTGTCCTTCACCGCCTTATTCAGGTGTGTATCATCTTTTGAATCAACGTTCCATTTACTACATCTCTCTAAAATCCCCCTCCTTCTTTCTACAACGTCTATTAACTCACTTCCTTTGTATTGGTCCTGATTATCCGTGGTCATAAAATGAGATGACACCGCCAGCGTCGGTTTTGGTTCGCTATTCATTGGGTTGGCAATTTGTGAGATTCTAAAACCACGAAGATTGAAAATGGAGAATGGGTGGATGAATCAAGGGCAGAAACACGAAAAAACATGATGATAAGAAGAATTAGGAATCAAAATTCTTGAAAAAAGGATTAGCAGAAAAAAAAGAACCTGAGACAATAGAATTGTATACGTTTAAAGTTTTCGGGGGAATGAAAAAAGAGATCTCACGATGTTGGAAGTCGAATGAGCTATTTTAGTTCAGGATTTGCTCTAAAATTCAAAATTGTGATCTCTATGTTATTGTGATTCATTCATCCAACTGTACAAAACCCTGAAACACAAAATGACGTGAGCTCGAGCTGTTTCGAAATAAATTTTGAGAATTTTAGGAACCGGAAACATTAATATTGAGAGCAGGAGCACACTCCCTAAAAAATACTTGTTCTAAGTGCGTCTAAGAGTCTGAGGCAAAAAATCTATGTGAGAAATTTTGAGCACTTTCTCTTTTCTTCCTTTTGACATGAACTTTTAAAAGATTACAATGCAAATTTTGTATTTACACACTTTCAAACATTTGTATCGTGTAATCCGAGAATATTTTTTTCGAAAATTCGATTTCAAAAAAATTCATTGTACTTTTTGAAATTTTTTCTTGCCAGAAAAATAAGAATTGACCCTTCACACCGTCATGGATTTTAAGGGGCGCATAAAAAGTGTAAACCTGAATATTAGTGACTTTACACTAAGTACTAGTCATACCTGGCTCTGATTCATTTTTTATACACTACCTGGGACCGAGACCCCCCTCCTGAGCTGTCAGAAGCAATCTCTGTCTACACATTTTCACGTTTTTCACTTTTTTTTGCTAAGTCCCATTTGGCATTAGTGACCAATTGTTTAGGTGACCTTCCAAGGAATGCCGACTAATGAGCAAACAATCGATATGAATGGGCGGAACTCCTTTGCTCCCCCTCTAATTTAATTTAGCTAGGTTTCGCTTTTTTCTATAAATCGAACACGATGAGTAATTTTGACTCATCTTATTCTTTCAGTTCCGGCAAGTTGAGAAATTTCTTTTATCTATTCTTTTATCTTACCGATAACAAGCTGGAACTGACATTGCGTTTTTGTTAAATTAGTGAAGGTGAGCACAAAAGAGCATTAGACGTACTGTAGTTCATTTTCTAGCCAAATATGAAAATTGGGTTTTTTTTCTACAGAGAGAATCTTCTAGCTACTGTAGTTTTTGAGATGGCCATGGGAAAAAAGGGGGCATGGGTAAAAATTATGCCTAAGTGAAGATTCACCCATTTTTTCAAGTTTTGGGGTTATTTTCACAAAAATTTCGTGCTTTGAACATTTTTCATAATTTTTTTTAAATTTTCAGTATATGTCATTTTTTGTACATTTTTTATAAATTGTTTTGTTCCTAAGCCTAAATTAATCAAATATTAGCTTAATAAATTGAAATTACACAGTTACAACAGCAAAAACAATGTTGTTCATGGAAAAAACGAGCTGAACTGAACTTTTTTCGAAGTTATGAATTTTCATGGAAACAAGCGCAAAGAACGAAATTTTCATAAAAACAGTGGCAAAACTTGAAAAAATCGAAAAATATGAACTTAGGCATAATTTTTACCCATGGGCCCCCCTTTTGTCTTGCGCCCCCCCCCCTTTGTCATAAAGAGCCGAAAATTTTGCATTGCAGAGTTCTCTGAAAATTCCTAGTTTTTCAGCCAATTGCCGATTTCCGAAAAGACGCCCATTTTTTTCACGTTTAAATACAAACACGGGTCGATAAATGGTGTCTTGCAGAAATCGGCTAATAGCTGAAAAATTAGGAAATTTCGAAAAATTCTGTGAACGCAAAGTTTTCAAGCTGAGTCTGTTTAACACTGTCCAAAGTTTTTATAATGGTCGCAAACCAGACAGTCGTGCACCAGACTTCTGAAAATCGTCAAAATGGCCGAATACAACTTCATATTGACCGTTACCGTATATAATCCCCATCGAAAATCTCAAGAACTACAGCTAGAAAATGCTCCCCTGGGTATGAATTTCGACTAGTTTTGAAAACGTAACACAGGCCAGGCCGCAAGGGGGTTTCCTGAAAGTCTTGTTTTTAATTAGAGCAAACCCGGCGATTCGCCATCTCCTTTGCCCCCTTTGTGTATTTGTGTGTGTGCAATGCGTGGATATATAATTGGCGCCCGCCTTTCGACACTACCCAAAAAATTCTGTAATCAATTGTGCGTATCTCTACTATTTTTGCTTTCGTTTTTCCTAATTTATTTCGCACATCGTTTCTTCGTTTTTCCGCGTAAATTAAGGCGCGAGACACACGGGAGGATTCACCAAAAAATTTCGCGATTAGTTTTTTTAAAGAACCTAGGGGAATGAAAGTAGTGAAAAAAATACAAATAAGGAAGTGGTAAATAGATCTGAAACAGATAGAGAAAGAGCCTATAAATGGAAAAAAAACTGAAAAGATTGGTAACAAGGATTACTGTACCCAAATTCTTACCTTATTTTCAAGCTTCCAGAATTGAAGCCTCAAGAAGCTTATACGTGAACTTTGAGCTCAATTATCTCGGTTCCTATAAGACTTATCAAAAATTTGTCAGCTGATAAAATATCGGTGATATTATGATAAACAATTTATCAGTAAAAGCTTATTGATGTCATTGAAAGGAACTGAGATAATTTAGCTCAAAGTTAGAATATTGTGTAAGCTTCTATTAAGGCAGATACGGTAGGAGAAAATTCAAAAATTCGGAAGAAAACCTCTGTCAAATCAAACCAACAAATCTTTTGATTTTCTTCAAAATCAAAAAATCTCCACCTCCCTTTTTATCTCTAAAAATATTATCAACAACACAAAAACTACCGTAATCACGTTGAATCACCACCACCTCTGGCTCACCGAATTGCAGCTTTGCTTCCAGCGGCTCGAGATGAAAAAAAAGAGTGTCGGGTCACAAGTTTCGAGATCCAACATTTTTTTTCTAACTTTTGTTCTCATTTCTTTGCCGCCCTTCATGCGAAACGAAAAAAAATCTTTTTTCGCCGCATCCGAAACCAAAACCCAATCTCATTACACCCCACACATACACCCGCTGGTGTGGCACCTCTCATAATTCCAATGAGGGGTGCTGATAAATTATGGACACCTCGCCTTCTTCATTTTCGCAAAATACATGTGTCTAATATACTTTAATTTTACGCGCCTCCTCTCCATCTTTCACACCATATGCTCACTTTCACAAAAATATGTACAACATTAGGGAATAGTAGAAGAAAGCTGACAGGAGAAGTTATCTAAAATTCAGGAAATTTTTCAACAAAAGGCGAAAACACAAAAGAAAAGTCGAAAATTAACAAAATAGGAGTAAAGGGGTACTGTAACTCTTACTCCTCAGAAAGAAGACTGAGAAAAATGAGCACCACCCGTGTGGCAGGGCGGTGTGTCCCAGCCAGCCTAATCTTCTAATTAGGAAACGAATTTTCAGGAATGGGCGGAGCACCGGAAAAAAGAATGAGATGGAAAAGGAGCGGTGTGGGTAAGATGATGATTCGGGGACGGTGGCAGCGGGGAGGGCTTTGAATTCAATCAAATTCGTTACTTTTGGGTCTTAGCGCGTCGCGCAAATTGCTTTTGGTGAGAAGGAAGCTTGAGCATAAGAAGAGCATGCTCAAAATAATGAATTGCTAGCTACATGACACTAAAATTCTAAAAATTCTGGTTTCAATGGAAGAGGAAGCCAGTGAAATCACAAAAAAAACCATGAAATTGGGTTTGTTGGGCGGGCGAAAGATAGGGGGGTGCGGGTTACTGTAACTGTATGAGCCATGATGAATCATTTTTGTGAACAATATGAGGGAAAGATAAAAAAAACGAGGAACGGAACTGACCAAAAAGTCTGCAGGGAAGACCGTCCAATCAGAGTTTATAGCCCCTCCCATTTTTTTGTTGCAGGTTTTAGTTTGTTTTTGTACGCCCACTAGAAATAGGCGGTTCAGAAGTAGATAACGTAAGTCAGCAAACTTCAAGCATTTGTAATTCTTATAGGAACCATCTCATTGAATTAGTAAAACTCGAATTATGGAATCTTCCACTTCAGCGTCTACTTTATAAATAATCGAGGTACCGTCCCATATACAGTACCGGCCATGGAAATATACAAAAACGTATTTTCGATTGATTTTCGGCGATTTTGACCATTTTGAAAAGTCTGGAACTCGGCTGTCAAGTTTCCGATCTCTTTCAAGTTTTTGGAGAATGAGAAACTGACCTGGATTGAAAACTTCGCATTCACATCATTTTTTGAAAATTCCTAGTTTTTCAGATGTTTTGAGATTTCTGAAAAACAACTTTTTTGGACCTTTGTTGTACTGAAAACGTGAAAAAACAGGTTTTCTCAGAAATCGAGAAAAACTGACAAAACCAAGAATTTTCAAAAGATTCTGTGAATGCAAATGTTTTAATCTAGGTCTGTTTTACATCCTACAAAATTTTCAAAATGATCAGAAACTTGGCAGTCAAGCTCCAGACTCTTGAAATAGGTCAAAATGATGTTTTTATGTATTTTATCATCCGGTTCTGTAACCAAATTAGACAAATTCTAGTATTTAGTTCACAAATATTCAACCTACTATCCCAAAACGTTTGATCTACACATTTGCTCAAAAAATCTAAATCCGAAATATGAAAAATCGGGTCGTGGGAGCTTTAAAAGTTTCAAATTTTCACACATACTTTTTTCGCGCAATTCAGTTTTTCTCGCATCTCACAAATTTCTAGTAGTCCTTACAAGCAAATGCACTAAAATAGTTGGATGAAGTTTCGGAGAAGGGGGGCCTTATGGTTTTGAAGGTTGTGCAATCGAATGGAAAGAGACAATTTAGGACCAGCATGGTGGTGACAGGCAAAAGTGTAAAAATGTATGGGGAAAGCGTCAAAAACAGGCCACCAAAATTGTTTCATGCTCTCTCGAGATTTTAGAAATAAAGCTTCC